TTAGTGACACGACATGCTTTAAGTTTCGTTAGCCCCACTATAATCCTTACCAGCTCCCTCCCAAGACCCCTCCCCATAATATTCTGTTCAATGCCACCCCACTGAGCTTCAGTCCAAATGCGGTAGCCCTCCACCAATCAGATCACCAGCCCTAAGTCCCCAGAAGGTGCCATGCACAAGGTCCTAGTGCGAATGGGAAATAAGGTTGAACACAACCAGATTTAAAAACCAGCTACAGTACCTTAGACTTGATGCAGCAGATAATAAGGAGCTATCGTAGGCTCCTCAACAAGGAAATACTTGATACAGTGATAGATCAAAAAGATTGATCTCCATAAAACTGAATTCATTGCAAACGTGAATTAAACTTTTCTAGGAAACGAGTCTAAATAATGAACTAAATAACAATGAAGTGTTAATAATGAAGGAACTGATTTTTTTATTCCATTCTGGGATAATTAAGGGATAAATCAGTTCAAATGAAAGATGTCACTGTTATTAAAACTTCATTCATTTATTGAATTATGTTTCATGTGAACAGAGTTATTTTAAGATTATTTGATTATTATATAAGTCAATGTCATTTCCAGTTTTTGGAAAATTGATATTAATGCCTTGTCACTGAAAATGTAACTCAGTTTATCAAATTAATTTCTCAGAGGCCACCTGATAGCCACCAGATGGCAACCTGTGCTGATGTCAAATTCGAAATTTAAGTTATGAATCGCCCTGCAACTATGCATTACCCCTCACTCACCCGCCAGGTTCCTTTAAAATCAGAAAACCCAAAGGCTTTCTCCTACTTTCCTAAATTCCATTTGAACAAAATGAAATATGTTCTATCCACAATGCTTACGATAATTAAAGTTGTTGTTTTTTTTTTTCTTCATAGGAGTCTATCTGGAAATAGCACAATATGGAACGATCGTTAATAGGCCTGTTATGGTACTTGAATAAACGCCTATCAAGGGCACGGGCACACATTAGAAAGTTTCCTAAAGAAAATCCATTTTCATTTCAAATTCTGACATTTTATTTAGAAAAATTATACCCTTTCTTTTAATTATTTCAGTAAACATGATGAGGGTATTGCTAACTACACCTCAGAGTACTTTATTTTCTCCATTTTTTTTAAGGAATATGAGTCTACTTGTAATTAAAGGCACACTGCATTCATGATGCCGAGGGTCTCCAAGGGAAACACTTAATGTCCACCTCATAATATTATGCCACAATTACATGCACAGAAGTCTTTTTAATAATCTTTGTTTCCTAATTTAGTTTTGATTGGCTCTGAAATCCACAGCAGCTCTCGAGGGCTCCCATTTCCACAGTCATCAGCACTGCTGCGCCGTCAATTGTACAAACGCACATGATTTCTTCCGTCTGTAGGCTTCCTTTCAAGGCTTCTATTTAACTTATCCAGAAAATTAGCTGCAGGCTGGAGATAATTGCAGATAATTTTGCCATTTTTAAGCCACTGGGGTGTTACGCGCAGATATGACAGCTAAGTTTGTCTAAACACAAAGAACAAGTCATAGCTTTGTGTTGTCACTTCAGCTCTACACACGGGTTCAGATCATCCTATTTGCTCTTTATGCAAATTGAAACAAATTGTCGTCACTGGGTGATCTGTGTTTTCTGACAAAGCTGTGCTACGTGAAGCTTTTAGGTGGCTGGAAGAAGGACACGATCTAAACTAATGTATTATCCCAGCCGAAAAAACAAAAAGCCTAATCCTCTTCTCCCCTTCATTCTTCTTCCTTAGCAGAGATGTTTCTTGGGCCACCAACAACTTAAAAATAATACATTAAATTAAAAAGAAGATGTATGGTCTCAATATACACAGTTCATAGATACTGGTCTCAATATACACAATTCATACAGATGTGTGTATGCGTGTATACGTTTCCCCTATTTTACTCTCATAAATAGAAATGGCAGGGTTCTCCCATAAAAATCAATGTTCACAAATGCTGGTAGCACTTATATGCAACAATTTAAGACCACTGTATATTAAAGAGTTATTGAATAGGTCATCCAGGTTAGTAAGCTGAGATCTATTGTTAAACAGAATCACGTGGCCCTTTTTTCCTAAAATTTCACCATAAACTGTGTGCTGCATTCCTGGATAGTCACTGCCACAGAACGAGGGAGCAAGTGCAAAAAGCAGCAAGAGTGACTCTTAATGCATTGCCAATGAACTTCAACTTCATACAAATCAGCTATGGGAATTGCTCACCAAATGTGCCCTTAGTGCTCAGAACTGTTATACTCACAGCTAATAAGGGTGTCACTAACTGAGCAGGTGATTTCTGAAACCATTTTGCAGCAAACATTTACATATAAGGGCTAAGTAGTGATTGTGCATATGTGGCAGCAGCCCTGATGTAATGGGCCATAACGACTCTGAGGGAGCAGGAAAGGATGTGTGTCAAGGAGGAAAGAATGTGAAAGGCATAACACAAATGACTTTATGGATTCCCATTAGACCTTGGGCTAGGGTGCACCTAAACAGGTCTGATATGACAGCATCCTGAGACAGCTTTACAGCCTGGTGTCAGGAACCCTTACACTGAAGAGTTTTATGGAAAATCCAAAACTATGGAGAGGAAGTGTTGTTGTATTAGGCCATTATCGTTGACTTGGCATATAATATGCATACAAATGGTCCCAAAGTATGTGCTTAAAGGATAGGTTATTAAATCTGTTATGCCAATCATAGGCATATTAAGGAGTCAAAATTAGGCACTGATAGGCAACATCGCACAAATCTTACACTCTCCCTTGGAAAACACTTCTGCCCCATGACAAACTTAAATGTACCAAGGTTCCAAATATCCACATCATACTCAGATGTAGCCTTTGAAAAGACGGCCTTGTGGATTTGGGGATAAACATACAAAGTATACATATTACTGCACTTGAGAAAGGTGAGGGATACCACTTTGATTCTTTTTTCTCTTTTGGTCTCTAACATCACATAGCTAGGGAACTGGTAGGGAATGGACTTGTTTAAAGACCTTACACCACGTCCGCATGAAAGGCAAGCATGAGAAGTTCAGTAATGTGCCCTTTCCCACTCGTGATCAGAAAGAGAGGCACACTGAAGACACCGAGTGAATAAACTCTTCCCCACAAGGACAGGAACAGTGCTGGACTAGCCTTCTCTTGCCGGGGGCTGAGATCAGCAAAGCTGCACATTTAAATTGCAGGTTGAACACACTCTACAGGACCTATGCAAGTGGAAACGGCACTCTGAAGAAGGATGTCTGCTCTTTTACTTCAATCTGTAAATTATTAAACAATTCCAGAAGAGGCATATTGCTACAAGTGTCATGCAAACCAATATATAGAGCTAGAGTGTGCTTCATAATATGAAGGGTTGGCCCAGAACTCATTCTCCGCTGTGAGGAGAGCACAACCTATCACCTGCACAGCAATTTCACTCCAAATTTGCAATGAGATCTTAAATTTGACCTTTTATGAGAGATTATCAAAGACCTTACATAAAGCCAACAAATGTCCCTGCTCTTTGACAGATTTATTATAGTTTTGCTAATGTGTTTGAATGAACTACTCTTCTGGAAGTCCCTGATTTCTAAAATGTAGCTTTTTTTTTCCCCCTGTGCAAAGCACATACCTGTTTCCCAGAGAGACGGGTCTCTCTTTGAAATATTTAGTCTTTCAGGGCACTTTAGTCATAGTGACACCTAATAGCCAAGCTCTTTTTCTCACTCTCCACAGAATCAGGTTTAGACTATAATTCAAACCAGTCCCCAAAGGCACTTCTGAAAAATGGCACGCCGTTAGCTTTTAGGTAAAAACACTCTTTATTGCTCAAAATTGTTTCCTGTTACAAAACCCTTTGCACCGTGCTAGGTCTAAGATGATCTTATGCTAATTTAACTCACTGGGGACTGTGAACAGATGCTACTTTGATTAATAGTTTCACTATCCTGAAAATGCCAGGCCAGGTTCAAGATAATAAAGTCAGATAAGAATACTATTAAAATCTGCCATATGATTATATCTGTTATGTGGAGAAAAATGGGATCCCAGTTCCTGTACTAAATAAAGACCACCTATAATAATAATTTTTAAAAAAGACAAACCAAAGGAACACACTATCTGGACTCTTTAGCACCTTGATTTACATCATGTTAATCACCAAACTCTTTACTAATACCTTTAGGAAGACTTTCAACCATGTCCTTAGTGAAAACCCACTGTGCCCCTCCAAAGTTATCCTTTCACATAGCATTTAACTTTTCACCCCAGAAAAGACTTATGTACACCACAAAAACAATGAACTCTTTAACTCTGCTTCTCAAAAGGATGGTATCTGAATTTGTATGCTGAGGTCACTACTTTTCAGGAAATATGTTTTCAACATTCCAACACTCAGATTTAAAATACGCCTAGAAAACCACGACCCTTGAAAACAAGGGCCAGCATGAGTTGACAAACAAGACTTTTTTGGAGGCATGAGCTCCTCTCTCCTTTGCTTCTCTTCTCACTGATCTCCCAACCACGGACTTCCACATCACATCAGCTTCCTGATGGGGAAAACCATGAACTCGAATCTAGCCTTGAACAATGAACCTCAGGGGTGGACCTATACAGGCATGCAAAGAGACTTTTGCATCTGTAAAGTAGGTTTACCAATGGATTTTACCCTTTACTAGAATACATGTGGCCTAATCATATTCCCAGACTCCAATCTGAACTCTTTCTTTTATTGTTTATATACGGTACGCCTGTCTCAATGGAAGCCTCGGTTTGCAGGAAGGCAGACGGCACGTTCCAGTGCCTGAATCACCCTGCGAATTGTGATTCCGGGTCCTGTACCAAGAAGGAAGCTAGCCTGTTAGCGCCAATCTGCCCCCCGCAGATTCAGCTCATTGCATGCGTTGAGTCTTCACACTCACCACATTTGTACACGTCTATGACATGCCTCCACTTAATATGAAACATTCTATTCAAAAGGGTTGCCTCACCATTGCACAGAATGTTTCCGGAGGGTCTCCACAGGTAATGTCCGGAGGATCCAGTTTTACTTTCAGGTATTTGGTCATGTCCGTGGATTCCGGCTGACAGGCCATGTAATCCCAAACTTTCCCTTCTTCTGTGTAAATCTGAGTCTTACACACATCATAATGTCCCCATACCAAAGGGTAGGGCTGCATCACTGAGGACACGGTAACCCAAAGGGCATGAATTGACAGAAATCTTGACAAATACATCTCTAAATTCTTGGCAATCTTTGTGGTAACAAAGCAGGGTTTGCTTATCTGTGATCTATGTCCCTTTCACATACACATAGACGTGTATATGTAGGTAGGTCTGTATATTAAAAAAAGAAGAAGAGGAAGATGAAATCTCAGTGTAGATTCCAAATCTCAAAGTGAAGGGTTGATATTGTGCGCGTTCAGGTATATCGAGGACTCGGGTGGCAGCCTAACATACTGGTACGTTAGGCGTCGCCAGCAACGTGCCGCTTTTTCGTTGCCCTAGAACAGGTCTATCAGACTCGCATCTAGTTTGGTTTTTGTAAAAGATGTCCAGGAGCAGAGGCTGATCTAGCGATGCGATGGCTCTCCTGTTGTACATCCAATAACCCTGGGTGGTCCTCAGTGCTCGTGGCTCACGAGGGACGCTCAGGTGCACTGATATCAGTATCTGAAGCAAAAGGATGAGAGTCTAGAGCCCGGTGTCTGCTTCTCATCAATCATCCTTTCCTTCCGGCACCAACACCCTTTAAGAAACAATAAGAGTAAAAGTTATTGCCCCAGAATCGATGCATTACAAAATGTTTGATATGTTGACATTTGGGAGGGTTGATGCAATCTAAAGCAAATTGGCGTAATATGGATAACCTTTCCTCCGCTGCTTTGCTAGAATGAGCAAACCCCAGGAATCATTCATGTTGGGGAGGATTTTGATATGAAGGATTTAACTCTTCCATAACAAAGACAGATGTGCATGTTCCAGGTGAGTTACAGGTTGTCGCTTCAAAAATTATATTTCCATCTTGACAAAACTGAGAGCAAGCAGCTAGATTTAAACATTTCTCGTGGATTGCAGTGCTAGAAAATCTTCCAGGAGAACAATGGGGGGAAATGAATGCTTTTATAACAATGACAAAGAAGTGACAACTACTTGTATGCCTTTTGTCTATTGGCAAAGAGACCCTAAAAAATCTCTAAATTCCTTGTACATTTCTTAGCTTTTGTGAGCTCGAGTGAAAACAGGCATTGTTGGCACAAGGCTGTCCCTCTGGATTTGCTCATTGTATGGAAGAATTTAGCCTCTTTTGTTTAGTCGCAGTTAGTGATAAAGACAACTTGGCACTCTGGAAAAAAATACTCAAAAATAAAACCAAAGGAGCAAATTTTCCTTTCATAAGAATTTTCTATTTTCTTACATCTTTTTATAGCCATTACATCTGCATTTCCACTTACTTTCTGTAACAGAAGAGAATTTGTCCCAAAGGCGAATATTATACGCTGCTTTAAAACTAAAAGCTCTGTAGTAAAACGCACAATTTAAAATGCACATATAAAAATAGCTGAGGGTGAGTTAACAGGCCATGAAGCAGAATAATGTGGCACTAATTCTAAGAGAAAATAAAAATTACTGTTTAAAAGTACTTTTGGTTAACTGATAATGCAGCCTACACAACTATGAGTACTTGTCACTGGTGACTTTAACTGGCAACTTTTCTGTTTAGAGACTATCTTCCAAATCTAAACAAATAATAACATTGGGAATCCAGGTGTAAAAAAGGGGTATTTGTGTAATTAGCTGGCTCATCTTGTCATAGCCCCAATAATTAACTATTTTTTAAACAACTAAAAAAGGCCACAGTTTAGTAAATACCATTAGAGACCCTTTAATTCACATTAAGCGGTTTAAACTGGGAAGTTCACTATCTTCAACAATCTTATAAAAGGAATTCAATATATTCAAATAACGCACCATCTTAAAATGAACTAAGCCACAGAGGCTATGAAATGCCAATGGATGGTTGAATAGTGTTTCCATAGCAAAGTAATTTATAATAATTGCTTTATGGATGCAAGTGCAATTTTCATTATATTCAATTCATAAAATGTTATCATCCAGCTGCAATCTGTGATATTTTCTATTAGGAAAAGTGTTGAATATTTGGGTTCTTATGAAGCAATAATTAGCAGTCTGTCTAAACATGTATAAACTGCTGATTTGAATCTGCCTCTTCCTTGTAACATAAAGACTATATACGATACTGTGTTAGGCACATTTTGATATCTTAAGCTAAAAAGGAAAAAAAATCACAGAGAAGCATGTGTTGTGGCTAGTACAGCCTTTTGCTTTTTCAGATTTGGTGGTAATTTTAAGTTGATGTTTTCAGAAACATCCAACAATTCATAATCTGAAAAGGTGTTAAAATAATACGCACGCACATTTTCTAGATGCATTTTCAACCGTGTGTACTACTTTGTTATCACAAGAACACTTTCATGGGCTACAGTGGACCTGGGCATGACAACAGCAGAAGTACAAAATCTCCTAGACTAGAATTTATTAACTTCAGTTCTTAGTTTCAAATATATAGCAACTTATTTATCAAGAACAATATAGTCTTAAAGACCGGGAATGGACTGCTCTGAGTTTGAACCGAGTGAAAACTGTGAGTTAGTTTTTAAGACTGTTTTTAAAAAATGGCCATAAGTATATATTTGAATGCTCTCGGAGCTTAATCGTCACTTTTTTGTTAAACGGGAAACGTTATCCCCTAATCCATTTATGTCTTGTAACTCTTTCTTTATCCACATTTTGCCTTACTGCCACCACAAAATAAAGGATGACCAGGTGGATGTACATGAAACATTTGGACAGGAAGGAAACGTATGTGAGCCTGTGACTGTTTCTTAACACAACAGTAATCCCAATAGAACGAATTCTCATTAAAGTATAGCAGAATTATAATGATGGTCATTACACAGAATTATGGACTACACCATTGATCGAATTTAGAGAACTGACAAGGAAAAACGCAGAGGAGTGCAAGATATTTGAATATTAGGCAGTTGCAGGACTGTGCGACAGACATTCTTGACAAGAAGCAGCCAATTATAGCTCAAATTTCTGGCACATAACCAGTTGTGATTAATAGTTTTCCATTACATTACAGACATATTATTAATGTATTAAAAATGTCAAGCTTTGGCAAGCGCTAATATGGCATGGCTCAGTTAGTCTGCAGAATTTACATTTAATGAGCTCCCATTGACACAGAAAAAGATATTGACCACGGCATATTACAGATCAGGAGCAGAGGGTCACTAAGCTGTTCTTTAACATAATTGCTTAATTTCATTCTAATTTTTGTATTTGTAGCATGGACTCTAGTGTGTATTCTTCACATCAGGTCTCCTTTCTTTTTTCGGTGCCACATACACTTCAAAGAAAATCCTCTTAATTTAAAATTAATAAGAAATTAAATTTGTGAATTGCCATGACACACAGTGGAAAAGAAGCCTCTGTCAAAATGGAAAAGCTGCCATTGCCGTATAATTACAGAGTTTTCAAAGAAAACAAAAGTGATATGACGATAGAATATTATTTGCCCCCTAACCTCTATTGCCTAATGGCACTGGTTCCCTTCTGGCTATGCTTTCAACCAGGTTGAAATCATCAATCGCTTCTTAAAATCTAGGTCCTCACAGCAAATACCGAGGCAAACGGATTACGAGAAGGACAGTCAATGACGTATTTGGAGATTTAATATACTAAACCAACCCCTGCTGGCCCATAACTGAACTAATTGCCAAATAATGTAGGCTTTGGATTCGTGTCAAGTGTCTGCATCACCTAAGTGTGAGCAGCGTCAGGAGTGCTCTGGGCAGCCCCAGTTCTAGTTCCTTGCTTTGCAAGTCTTGGGAACTCACTGTAATCGAGTAACGCCATCATCTCTGCCTACACACTAAAGTACTGAGAAGTCCTCTTTGATAAAAATATCCATTAATATGCTATGAGAACTCTGCAGACTCTCGCTGGTATATAAATGTGCAGAGCCAATGTAAAAACATAAACTTATGTCATGTCCTCAAGTTGACAGATGTTACTGATCTGACTAAAATGGGCTATAACATGGCTTTGCATCCATGGGACATCTTCCAGGCTTCTGTAGCGAATTCCCTTCCGCCTTGGATTAACTTCGCAGAAGATACTTCACAGGCCCTTTCCCTCACCGGAAAAGAAGCCTTCCAAAATACTACATGGAGGTAATAATGATCAAAATTATGGGCAATTATATTCTAAAAACAATTGTCCATTTAATCAACTGAGAGGAAAATACTGACAGTGAGTCTGTTAACTCTAGCTCATGTGTTTTATTATATAATCTCACTAGGAGGTGGGGGGGGGGTGGTAGTAGGCTATTTATTCCATAAATACTCAGCTCTTCAGGGGCACCTGAAATAGACAGCTATTGACCCCTTGTTCATAGACATTAAGAGTTTTATAAATATGCATGTTTTTGAATGGGAAGGAACAAAAAGAACATGAACTATAATCACATTTCATTGAGTGAAAGGTATAAAGGGATAAAGATATTACCCCAATGCTATAACCCACCAAAATTAGCAGATTCAAACACTGTCACAATGAGATGGAGTAGACAAGATATTTAAGAAATACTGAATGCTCTTTGCATTTATTTATTTGGTGTGAAGAAAGCATTTCCTCGTCATCTTAATAGGAAACATTTGCTTCTATCCTTTTGTTAACTATCTCTCCAAACGTAAGGAATTTAACATGTGCTGTAACGTCATTGGCATATTTTACTCATTCTTGATTGGGTATGATGAGCAACTACCTATCATGAGATTCCTAATAAAACCAAATAGCACACCCTCATATTTGAAAAATCTCCATTTTCCCAGAGAGAAGAATGATTAGAGAAATCAGATAGCACATATTTGTCAGGATCCCCATAGGGATGGGATAATACATAAAATTATTTGCTATCAGTTAAACCTAGAAGAAATCTGGTGTTTCATTCCCATAAAACAACAAATCTTGCCTTCTCTTTAGGAAAGTTCAGACATCCATGGTTTCAAACACACATTTAAGAAAATGTACACCCACCTTAAGTTTTGAAACAAAACTCTGATTTCTGAAGATAAAATTATTTTTTAAAGTATGCTACATCTCTTACTGACCTATAATATTATACACTCACTCTCTCTCTCACATACACACACACATACACTCACACATTTTTTGTTAACACAATAACTGACTTTTTGAGTTGCATGACATTTTTCCCTTCTAAGTGACCTGATGCTCTTGTAACTCTAAAACTTCTCCAAATCTCTACAACACTTAGAACACATATCAACTAAATGTGTAATGGTTTAATTTTTTGACATATAATCTTATTTTTTTCAGATTAATAATGGAAGCAGACAAGTAGTTGCATCAACTGCAAATATACAAACGGAAACTGCAAAATACATTAGCCTCCTCCTAAAAAAGCTAACCTGAATCACATTAACACACATGCCCTGTGAAAGCCAACAAAACAAAAATCTCAATAGAAAAAAAAAAGCTTTGTGTGCAAATAAAATAAACCGTTTTCTTACAAAATGTTAGGATTATAGCTCTTAAATTTCACTATAGGAAGTATCACCAAATTAATAGCCAGTATGTGGAATTCCCAATGCCCTCATGTTGGTAGTGGTGAAACAGATGTCATTTCATGGCATCCAGAAAGGAAAAAGAAATATATCCCTCACATATGTAAACTGGGACAACATTAAGTGTAAAACACTTGATGCGTTTTTTCCCCTTTGTATCCTGATCCACATGCAAAGGCCCAAATTTTGTCTTCATGAAAAACTGAAAGTTGCTTGTCCTAGAAAAGAATCTTGGACAGTTATTGAATGGCCCTTCCTTTGCCAAAGAGGAAGGGATGGGGGATGGGGTGGGGAGGATAAGACATTCAAAGTGACACAGTTCAAAATACTTAATGAAATCTCCGGTTGCTAATTCCCCACAGGTTAGAGATGCTCTCAAGGTCTAGACAAATCAGAAAAACCTTGTCCCTTCTCTGGAAAAGAGAATTTCTGGGAAACTTTTTCTAACAAGCCTAATCATTTAGTAAGTTTGAATAAAGGATTTTGTTGGAGGATCCTTCTGGTTAATTCCCACCCTCCCTTTTCTGTAAGATAGGAAAACTTTTAGTATTTTCACTCATAAAATAGGGCCTTATTTCTAGAGCAAACCGAGTGCCAGATATGCCATATGTTTAGTGCAATTCTGAATCTTACTCAGAATTTTCCATTCCAAAGATTGACAAACTGTTATGATAACTAGTGCCTCCATTACCGTTCGGAGTACAGAGAAGACTGGAGGGGGAGTTGGGTAACAAAAACCTCTACTCTCTGGACATCTATACCTGATGCGATGATGGGAACGCAACCTCCGACTTTTCCAAATAAAGTTGCTTTCAAATCCCCGCTAGGAATTTTCCTGCGAGCCCTGCAAGATGACAACCTAAGTGGTTGGGGTGGGGGGTGGAGGTCCCCGGGTGAGGTTACTAGAATAAACAGCAGAGGGCGCAGTTTCTTTTTTTATCGAACTTTTCGCGTGTATGAATCACTTAATTGGTTATTTTGAGCCCAATAATATTCGGGAATATTTGTATTATATATACAGATCCATATAGGACGGGAATTCAATGTCCCTAAACGATTCCACCAACCGATTAAAGTCATGCCGGCAAAGAATCTGAGCAAAATATTCCAAACAGCATTCCTACACCAAGTCTTTCCCCCTTTCAATTTTCCCTTCTCCCAGCCGCACACCATGGGACAGTAATGCTTTAATCTCGCACCAATCACGGAGATTAAAAGAAGGAGACTTCAAAAGCTCTCAGTGTGGCCACCGGCTCCACAGGGCCGGCCACAGGGCAAGTTTTTCCCAAAGCAAAGACAATTGGCAAAAGGAAAAAAAGGACCCTCGGGTGGGCCAGGTGTGCGCGCGCGAGAGGGGGAGCGCGCAGGGTGCCCGTCAGTGCGTCCGCCGAGGCACCGACCCGGCGCCCGGGCTCGCATGCAACACACGCAGACACGTAACCCGCTCGGGGCGCACACCCGGGCGGACTCGTGTGTGGGTGTGAGACTGTGCCGGCTGTGTGCGCGCCGGGCCTCCGCGCGCCTCCTCAAGGCGCTTCGCAAAGTTCCTCGCCCACCCGGAGCCTCCCTCCCGCCTGTGGATCGCAGGAGGGGGGAGGGGGGTGGAGAGAGGGAGGGAGCCCGGGGTTGAGGCGGGAGGAGGGGGTTGGGGGAGAGGGGCCAGGACGCGCCGCGCGGGTCGCCGGAGGAGGGGGACGCCGGCCGCACTTACCTTGCGGCCCGCATGCCCTTGCGCCGGCCGGGAGCCGACCGACGGCGCGGGGCGGCGGCCCTGCCCAGCCGGGTGCGCCTCGGGCGGCGGCCGCAGCGGCGGAGCCCGCGGGCGGTGCACGGGCGGCGGCAGCTCCCGCCGAGCCTCCGCCGGCGCGCGGGAGGAGCGGGAGGGGTGGGGTGTGGACCCGAGCCGCCGCCGCCGCCGCCGCCGCCGCCGCCGCCGCAGCCCCGGGGTCCCGCTCGCGCCCGGCCCGCGGTGGCCGAGGACTCTGCGGACCCCCAGCCCCGCGCCGGCCAGCCACTCCCGCCGCTCAGTTACCTTGGTCGCGCGCCCCAGAGGGGGAGCCTCCTGCGCGTCGCCCCCTCTCGGAGCCCTCGCCGAGAGGGGGAATTCCTTCCCGTTGACGTCCTCTTCCGAAATGCAAAAGATCAGTGACTTTGACAGGTAGATGAGGGGGAGGGAGCAGGGGTGGGCGGAGAGGAAGAGAGGATGAGAAAGGTGCCTCTCCCTCCAAAAATATAGTGATATTAATAATGAAATCGCAGCCTTCGGGAGGTCTTGCCAGCCCGGTCCCCCGCTCGCCGGCTCTCCTCCGCGCCTCCTCGCGCCACTGCCTGCCACTTCTCGCCTTAAACTTTTACTGGGGGATTTTTTTTCCCCCTATTTCTATTTTTCTCTCTCTCTCTCTTTCCTTTTTTTTTTTCTTTTTTAATTTTTTAATTTTTTTTTTCAGCTGCAGGACGATTTCCTGATTCCTGGGGATCAGAACCAGCGGCCGGGAGGTTCTACCCCGCTTGGCACAGCTTTCATTTTATTTCAGATGAAGACGTTGAGCTTAGTCAGAAGGGACATAAATCAGGACAATTAGCATTGGCGCCAAGAAGATCCTCGAGTAACCAATTCGCCCGGGCTTCCTTCGCGCATTCCTCCACTCAAGTCAGAAATGTCACTGCACATAGCGTTGATGGCTGGGAGACGCGACGCACCCAAAGTCCATTTGATGAAATATACATGGCCCACGATGCTTCTGGATTGCGGTTCCCGGTGTCCCCGCCCCCGCCCGCGGTGCCTGGCCCGACCGGCTCCGAGCGGGCAGCGAGCTCTCAGCAAACTTAGGGGCGCGTGCAAATTAAAGAGTGAGCGCGAGGGCCGGGGAAGGGAGAGAGGAAGACCGAGCCCCGGGAAGCCGCAGCCCTCAGAGGGGTGGCTCGAACGCTGCACTTAAAAGCAGATCTTCTTCTGCAACTGCCAGCAAGTGGAGGGATTGCAAACCTTACGCTACCTCGAGACCTGGGCGCTCCGAGCGGTCCTAACTCCGTCCCGCTCGCTGTTGCTGCTGCTGCTCCCGCCGCCGGTGCCGCCGCTGCGCGACCTCCCAGTGCTGAGGCCCTGAGACCACCCTTCACCTCCCCACCCCCAGCTCGCCCACGGAAGCGCCCTTTCCAGTAACTCTTCACGTACCATCCACTCCAGCCCCCGCGCGTCCCATCCCTCACTGCTTGCTCTCCTCCCGCAACCCGTCCCTGAGCGCACCCCTCGCCCCTAGCAGGGATCCCCGCTGTGCTTTTCTACCAACAATTAATTCCCTGGCCCTGCCAGCGGCCCCTAGGGCGCAAGCCTTGAACCTCCTCACTTAGAAATGCATTCTCCTTTGGAAAGTTGAAGTTCAAAAGAAAGCTGTGCCTGTCAGGTTTCCTTGCCTTTCCCGAGAAAAACGCAAATACCCAAATACCCCAGCCCCAAGACTTCATTTCCCAACCGGGGGGGGGGGGGGGGCTCCGACTTACCTGAGATCACTCTTAGCTACAAGCTAACGTCAAAAAATAAAAAATAAATTAAAAATCCAGACTTAGATAGGAGACACTTTAATTAGAAAGCCTATTGCCATCGAGAGAGAGCTCTGATCTCAGAAATCTGTAAGCATCTCAAAACCAAGCAGAAAAAGCGTTCATACGGTTAAGGGGAATACGCGGTAAGGGAAAGTTGGGCAGAGGAGAGGAAGTAGAAGGAAGGCATGACTGACCTGCGGGGTTTGACAAGAAAGGCGTCTCTGTGGTCCACGGATTTGGGGAATAAGCGGACAAGGAAACACGTTCTGCATTTTAGTGCTTGCTCAGATTTGCAGGCAAGCTAGCATTCAGGGTTGGGTGGGGAGGAGAGAAGCCTGACTCAAGTTTAGTCAAGGGTAAGAAGTGGGCAATTGTAAACACTTGGGTCACTAACTAGTACCCCCAATGAAGGCTCAGAGCTAAGAGCAGAGGGGTCACTTTTCTGCAATGACAGGGTGGGGGGGGCGGGGGTGTCAGAAGAGTGTTTGAGGGAGAAGTTTGTTGAAATGAGCCTATAACCGACAGTGTTTGGCCCCCAAGCAGCCAGAAAGGAGACAGGGACCCCAGGCATCCAGCCCCTAGACTCTCGGACACTGAGAGGTCACAGTGAATCCTCCTTCCCTTGACTTTTTCCAGTTCCCGAATCTGTGTTTTCCTGGCTTTCCTCCTCCCCACCTCTATTCTTAAGCAGTGACGTTGCAAAAAGGGTTTACCTAATGGGGGAAACTCTTTAAAGGCATGCTTAGACGTGGCCATACCTGGCTCTTCATTCAGTCACTGTCCATGCTGCTGCAGGGTTCAAATACATTGATTATATGCAGATACCACTCACCATTTCACCCTTCCTCACAGGCTCGAGGAGCCTAGAACCCTTCAGGGGAGTCACTGGGAGTTAGGAAACAACACCCACAGTGATGCTCTCACTTCTCACTGAGCACCCCCCCCAACACTGAATACAAACAGCTCTCAACCTTACCTCTCCATCTTGTTCTTTCCACTCAAGCCAAGAAAACCCCTTCTGAGTTTTGTCCGATATTTTTAGATCCTTTTCTGGGAAAAAGTATAGTTATCCACGCAGAGATTAGGAAATTCCCTCCTGTGATATACCAAGATCTTTGTGATATTGGCTCCCAATGTGGAGAAACAGTCCCTTCCAGATGTCAGAGTCTTGGAACTAAGCTCCCTCCCCTCTTGCTTCACTAAGGCCCTCCCTCATTGCCAAGGCTCCTTTGACTAGGAGGCACACACCAGTCCCAAAAGAATATGATATGAGAAGGGGGACCCTTTCCAGTTAAGTAGCCTTTCCTGCTCCAGGAGTGAGAGACTCTTCCAGAGGTGAATGAAAAAAAACAAAACAAACAAACAAAACAAAAGTCTGCTCTGATCTTTTCACAGGCTCAGTAAATCACCAATTTTAAATTGTTTTAATGTTTTTTATTTATTTCTGAGAGAGAGAGAGAGACGGTGACCAGCAGAGGGTCAGAGAGAGAGGGAGACACAGAATCCAAAGCAGGCTCCAGGCTCTGAGCTGTCAGCATAGAGCCCTATTAGGGGCTCAAACTCACAAACCACGAGATCATGACCTGAGCTGAAGTCAGTTGGACGCCTAACCGACTGAGCCACCCAGGCACCCCTAAATCACCAATTTTAAACATGTGGATATAAACTTTGCTCAGGAAATCAGAATTGCCAGAGGAGACTTTTCAACATGAAAATCCCTTTCTCTCCAGTGGAGATGGAGTGGGAAAGACCTTGTCTCCAAGAAAGTACTTTGAGTGAATCTAATATACTCCCTCAAACAGAACCTTGAATTTATCTATCAAACCAGCTTTCTCAAATGTATCTTTGCACATTTGTTTATATAATACATAGCAATCATAAATTTACTTTAGATATATTCTTGGCATCAGAGAAAATAAGTTAGGGCATACTTACTTTTCCTACCATCCTTTGCCTTCTCCATATATATATATACATATATGTACATATATATATATACACATATATATATGTATATGTATATATATATAACTTTCTTTGGAAAGAACGATTTTTCTGTTTTTATTTAACCTTCCGACTCTATTTTTTTCTCTCTCTCTCCTTTAGAAAAGAATTGTTTGATCTTTCAGTTCTCCAGCTTCAGATCCCTGGCAGGATTCCATGCATTCCTCATTCTTCTTCAACTTAGATTTTCATTTATTTGTAATCCCATTAGGCCTCTATTGTTCATTTTGCTAGGTTATTAGCTTCTTTAAAACCTTCTTTTTAGAGATTTGGCAAGGCTGTTCAAATACGTGTAACATCAATATGACAGACTGGTAGTAGTGGCATATTTGCAACATATCTGGTCCAAAAAGATATGTGTCTTCTTATAAGTACTGTAAAGCACTTAGCATAAAATAGTTAGAGGATCAAGATTCATTTCAGGTGTGAATAATTGTTGCCCATTTCCAGGATTCGGCTATAGCCTCCTTGGTAACAGGAACTAACTCCCACTATATTAAATTAAGACTTCCGTGTCCGAAATATCCAAATCAGGGACAAGTTCTATTTGGCCAATTGAACACTATGTGATAGACGCTTTTTATAACTGCTGCTTGTGTCCCAGTAGAAACATCCTAGCAGTTGTAAAACCTTTAGTTGTTTCTTGCCTCCACTCTGTGCTCGGGGACATGTTTTATTACAGAGCCATTAACAGTGTGGTTTTGACAGGTTTTGAAGTTCCTTACCTAACAGGATTTTTTAATGCTTAAATATTTTGACATTTAAACCTCTCACAAGCCCTAACCATCTGGTCTGGGCTCTATCACTAGGCTATACTGGCATTTTCCTGCTGCCGTAAGTGTTCCAATTACACTTATCTTCAAACTTTAAATTTACAAACCCAACATATCCAAGTATCAAGCATGTCCGGCATAGATATATCAGCGATCTCATTTAGCTTTTCTGAGGACTGATAGTAGACCAAAGGACATATTGTTTAATATAAGAAAATACACATATTTACTGTGCTACTGATTCTATAACACGAAGAATAGCAGCTGGTATAAGCTACTGATAGTTAATGGCGGATGCAGGGAACATGACCTTTGGTATTCACGTGCTTTCTAATATATGGCACTGTACGAAATGTTCTGGAAATAATAAAATAAACTGCTTGGTTAAAATAATATAAAGACTTGAACAAAATGTAGATTCTGGCACTTTTTTAGGAGAAAGCATTCTAACATAAATGATGACTTTTTTTAGTAATTATTTCATGTCTTTTTTCTATTTTGACTTCACAGACCTAGCTAGAAGTGTTTGAGGGAGAACAGTTTTCATATTTCTGTTTACCTAAACTCACTCATAAGAAATCACTTTTAATTTTTTTTTAATTTCAGAGAGAGTGCACGTGAGAGGGACAGAGAGAGAGTGAGAGATTTTTTTTTTAATGTTTTATTTATTTCTGAGACAGAGAGAGAGAGAGACAGCATGAGCAGGGGAGGGTCAGAGAGAGTGGGAGACACAGAATATGAAACAGGCTCCAGACTCTGAGCTAGCTGTCAGCACAGAGTCATGGGGCTTGAACCCAGAAACCATGAGATCATGACCTGAGCTGAAGTCAGATGCCCAATTGACTGAGCCACCCAGGCGCCCGGAGAGTGAGAGATCTTCAGCAGGCTCCTGAAGGCCTTCGTGCTCAGCACGTGCTCAGCACGAAGGCCAAGGCAGGACTTGATCCCACAACCCTGGGATCATAACTTGAACCGATATCAGGAGTTGGGTGCTCAACTGAATGAGTTACATATAGGTGTCCCACTTAGTAAGTAATTTTTATGATTTCAGAGC